TAAGTAGAAGCTCATTCTTTCTTCACCCCTGTAACCTCACCTCCTACCCCATCCCTAAAGTCCAGCACATTTGCCCTGCCTCAGCATCCAAGCAGCTGCTGCAATTCTTTAAAACTAATAGGAGGAAAACACTAGAAAACACAATATACAGAAAACCATCGTACAACATAGGAGATGTGAATCGTTGATACAAACACTGATGTCAGAGATTACCTGCTACACTTTAAGGTACTCTGGGTGCTGCACAGTAGCAGGTGATGGTGGGTGTGGGAGAAGGTGAAGGGGAGGGCGATGTGTGGTAGCGGAAGGGGAGGATTTGCCTCTCATGGGAGAACTGAGTTTTATACAAGGGCCCTCAGTCATCTGGTTGCTTTTAACAAATATGTACTAGGTATATGCTCTGGGCTACACAGTGAACAACAGACCGAAGCCCCTACTCTCAGGAACTTATCTGCTCCTAGTGGGAGTTCAGAGTGGAATCAAATAATTTAAAAAACTACGCAGTGGTTGATGGTAAGTGCTCTAAGGAAGATAGAAATAGAGGGTTAGGGAATAATGGTCAGTGCCCCTTTATGTGGCATCTGAGCATGTTAATCCCAGTACTCAGAGAATTTTTGGTCTGAACCTAACTGTCCTTTTGAAGGGAAGCAAATCATGAATATCTAACTCTAGGTAATATGTTTAATCCACCCCAGCTTTTCTGAAATGGTCTTAGATTATATAGGCAAAATGAACATTTAAAAACTACCCTTAATCTCATTCAGACTCAACCAATGCAACATATTAATATATATCCTTCCAGAGTCTTAGCTATACATATACTATATATTTCTCCCCAGTTCCCTTACTTGCAAAATGAGCAAGATTATTCTTGACTTGAGTTATGTTCACTTGAGGAAAGTGGCGATACACAGCAGCTAGAACCCTAAATGTTTCATAGCTTAGTAATATAGCTCCCTTTTTTTCTGACTCAAGCCTTGCCTCCCCCACTGTACCCTAAGTAACCACCATCTGTGCAAGTCAGGCCGGAACCACATTTCCACCACCATTTGATAGATGCCAATGAGACTCCATTGCAGTTTGCCCCAGCCGATGATGGTTTCGAGAGATGAGCTGGAGATGATACGGCTAACGTTAAAATGGCAATCCCAAGGCAGGGGGTCTCAAGCATTATGGAGTTTAGAGAGACCCTTTTAGAGTATCCTTTTCATGGCTCCTTCTCTCTGGGAGCAGACCTTCTGCCAAGGTGGGTAAGTCAGGATGAATTTTGAGGCCAGCAGCTACCCTGGAAACATCAGTCCCTCTGATCTCTAAGCCATTTGCTAAGTGTGACTTCCATCATGCAACATTGTTATGACTCCATCATGTCAACAACCATTTATTGAATTCATGCCACGCATCAGGTGGGTGTCCACTATTCTATGAACTAGAGATACAGTAGCAAAGAATATAAATATAGTTTCTCAGTCTAAGAGCCTGGAAACACCGGCTTTCCTTATGAAAGATTTTCCCTCAGGACCCCCAATGTCTTTTCTGGCGATTTGGCTTCCATAAGAGTACTAGGAAATCCATCAGATATAACTTTGTGTGTCATAATCCCAACTGTGGACCAAATTCTAGTCTTTATTTTCAAAAGCACCTTGGCTCTCACTATATTTGACTTAAAGCCTTGGACTCCAGAGCCATACTGCCTGGGTTCAAGTCCTGACCCTGCTCACTCTAGTTACTGAGCTTGGCCAAGCTACTGAATCGTTCATGCCTGGGTTGGGTCATTTGCAAAATGGAATAATAGTAATAGTCAACATGATCTGGTGCTTACCATATGCCTGGCAGTGCTCCAAGTACTTTAGATATATTAACCCGAGATCCTCACAATTCTACAAGGTAGGCGCTATTGTACCCCATTTTACAGATAGGAAACTGAGCCACAGAGAGGTCAAGTAATTGCCAGTTGTGGAACTCTAATTTTATGAGATTGTTTAAGGATTTAAATAAGGGGCATGGAAACTGGTCAATTAATTCCTTCTCCTATTATTGTTATGGTCATTTTAAGTGGAAAAAAAAAAGTAGGCAAATCTCAACCATGAGGAAAATAGCATAGAAAAATCTAGAAGGAGGGGCGCCTGGGTGGCTCAGTCAGTTAAGTCTCTGACTTCAGCTTAGGTCATGATCTCACGGTTTGTGAGTTCAAGCCCTGCGTCGGGCTCTGTGCTGACAGCTCAGAGCCTGGAGCCCGCTTCGGATTCTGTGTCTCCCTCTCACTCTGCCCCTCCCCCTTTCATGCTCTGTCTCTGTCTCTCAAAAATAAACAAACGTTAACATTTTTTTTTTAAAAGGAGAGAAAAATCTAGAAGGAAATTTATTAAAACACTAATAGTGTTTGCCTCAGGATAGTGAGATGATTATAGGTGAAATCATATATAGGTGATATAGGAAATCATCATTATATGTGACATTTTTCATACTTCTTTAGACTTTCATAAAAGCTTTCTGAATTATTTTACTGTGAGTAGGTATTTCTTTAATATTCAGAAGGAAATAATGCTAAAATTCTTGGGAGAAAATAAATTTGGGAAGCTTCTCCTCTGGGTCCTGATGACAGCTGTGCATTCCCCTCCTTGAGGGTGCAGGGCCCTCATCTGAGCTGGTGACCCCCACTTTCAGGGGCGGGAGGGGGCCTCAGGCAACATCCGCTTCCTCGGTGAATCACAGATCCCATTACTCACTTAGCTTCATTACATCTTTAATTATGACCTTTTAGTCTGAGTGAAAAAGAAGTATAATTTTACTTTAAGAGATATGCCAGGCCTACGCTCCCAACATTTCCAGGTTTCATGGAAATTGCAGGGATCATAGAAATTTAACCTGATAATTACTTCAATATTTCAAGGCACACAGTTTTACTCTCTCAGAATAATTATTGGTTGTTTTTTTTTTCTCCCAAATTCTTTTATTTCTCCGTTATTACAGGTTATGCTCATTTCTGTTGTGTATGCTTGGAGACACAGAAGAATGAAGGACATCCTTATGCACTCTGGTCTGTAGCACCTTATTGTTAATTTTTATTCTTTTATTTTCTCCCATTATTATTTCTCTTAGACTAGAAGTTTTATGTGGGCAAGGAAAACACATACTTGGTTCACTCTGTCCCCAGTGCCTAAAACGGAACTTAGCACATAGTAGACATGAAAAAAGTATTTGTTGAATGAACACCTGAAGGAATATATTTTTAAGTGATTATGTTAGTTGCATTTGTTGTATTATAAGGAAATCTTGGTATCATCAAACTCTTGTTGGGTGCCTACAATGCAAAGGCAGTGTAAGATCCACCATATGCCAGGTAGTAAACCCTTGGAGCCAGAAGTGCTTCAGAATTCAAGTTTCCAAATTGTATGAAGGCCATTTTATCTAACTCTTAGCAACCACTGAGCCAGCCTCCTGTGACTAAACAGCAAATGCATGTATTTTGCTGTGAGAATGTATGAATATACCCAGTAAGCGGGACAAATAAAGACTATAACCGTAAATCAGCTCAGGTGAGTTTTTGGTGCTAAACAATTCAAGTCAGGTCCAGTCCTGCTGTCAAATGAGTTGGAGGAACTTCTGGTTGTTGGCAGTTTGGCATTGCCAGTGAAGAAGGAAGGAGATGATCACGGTGGAAGTCAAGAAGGAAATCATCAAGAAGTACGAACAAGGTACGCGAGTGGCCGAAATTGCAAGATTTCACAAGTCGTGTCTGCCTCTCGTTTGCAGAGGAGGCAGAGAGAAAGGCAGAGGAATCCTTCACTTCAAATGAGATTAGGGAGATAGTGTAAAATGTGGGAAGCGGTGCAAAATTTTGTAGAAAAGCACCACATGAATAAGGCTGTAGCATTGCTAGTGATGAATCTTTTTAATGACAATGCAATGTCACATTTCCACCAAATCCTTAAAAGGAGGCAAAAGCAAGTGTCATTGGATAGGTCCTTTGTTATATTTGCATGAATAGAAAAAGATTCAGTTGGGCCAATAGACAGCAGTGATTCCATTAGGGAAAGTCGTCCTGCACAATAACCCTCCTGTTTTTTGTCTCCCGCACACCAACCATGAAGGTTTTCAAAGGTAAGTGCAGGTTATTTGTTTATTTTTCTTTATATTTTGTATTCTCTTTATTATTTTGTATTATATTACAGTTTTGTCATCATTTTTATATGAATATTTTTGGGTTGTGGAATGAATCATCTGAGTTTCCATTAGTTCTTATGGGGAAGTTTGCTTTGATATACAAGTGCTTTGGATTACAAACATGTTTCCAGAATGAATTATGCTCACAGACCAAGGTTTTATTGTGTTTACTGGGCACTCATTGTGGGTCAGGTTTTTACATATTAACTCTTAAATTCTCATAACAACCCTGTGTGTTAGGCCCTGTTACCATTCTCCCTTACAAATGGGAGAACTGGAGACAAAGAATGTAAATAATTTGTCCAAGATTACAGCCATTCCAGTGGTGGACCTGGATGAAGCGACACTGGCTGTGGGTTTCAAGCACTGGGTTGGTCACGTCCCCTTTTTTCTGAACAGGGGCCATTGTACACACTCCCACAGATGTTGACTGCAGGATAGTATTAATAAACTCTTGTCATATACTGTATTTAATGTAACTGGCAAAAAGGCAGCAGAGGAACGGGTCTATATCTGTAGGCAGCCAGACCTAGAATGGGGCAAAGCATTCCTAAGCTTACTCTTGTATGGAAAAGCAAAGGACTATCCACAGGTGTTTTGAAGTGACAAAAAATACACCAGTGCCAGTTGTGGGCACCTTCCAATGTTCTGAAAAATCACTGATTTCTGCCAAACACTGTGGCCTGAGACTGAGCATCCGAGCAAGGGAGATGATCACCCACAATCCTGCAGTGAGCGAGAGAGAGAGAGAGAGAGAGAGAGAGAGAAGAACCATTGACTCAGTTGTGATCATGTGATGTTCCGCATCACGTACTACTCGTATTGTAAGACATCGCTTGTTTATCAAGTGAAAATTTATTAGAAATGTTTGCTCATCTTGTGGAACACTCGCAGAACAAGTTACTCACAATCCAAAATTTTACTGTATTAGCTACTAACATATTACCTCATTTTGCGAGGCAAACAGCTGGGGAGACATACACGATTTTGGTCATTTGACAGGTGGGGAAACAGGAAGCTGGGCCGCTTGAGAACCTGGCTCATGGTCACACAATGGGAAACTGACAGGGCGAGGATTTGAAACTCCAACTACAGTATCTTGCCCATTACACCAGCTCACGTAAATTCTTGTATCCATTCAAGATTCCTTTTGTCAGCTGTTACTCTGCTTTTCCCTCTCCAGTATGGAATTTTTGAGGGAAAAAAATTAAAAGCCTAGGAAAATTAGAAAGTGTTTAGACATGCATTTTATTAGCAGATTCCCTCTCTTCTCTCTCCTTCTTTCTTTCTCTTTTTGTTGAAAAGCAAAAGGCAGAAGAACTTGGCACCATTTCCATCATGTCGATTCTTCTGGGTTTCTCAAATGTTGCGATCCCTGGAAAGCCGGGATTCATGCTTACCTCCACTCTTCATTAAGGCGGCCGTGGCCACGAGCTCGGGAAGGCAGGCTGCTGGTGCAGTGGGTGGGCGTGCTGAATAACACCCGGACCACAGCTGGGGCTGCCCTTGTCAGAGTGCCAGCCTGCCTTACCCAGTCTGTTCTCGCCCGCTACCTGGCCCTCGCCCATCTGCTGCAGAATTCATAAAGTGCTGAAGATCACAAACATCTGAACCTATTATAGGTAACATACTTCAATTACATTCTGATTGTGGGCTTGGCTTCCTCCAACCTTGGTCTCTAATGGCACAAGGATCAAAGCCTTCCCCACAAAAAAGGCACTAATCTCTAGGTAGTTCCATCATTTGGGGGGTGCTTAGAAAGAAGCCATTCTCCTATATGCTATGTGCTTTGTATTATTCGGTTGCCTGGCAGGGGTACCCACAGATGTAAAGAAAAGATCTGAGAGAGAGAGAGAGAGAGAGAGAGAGCGCTGATTTAAAGTCCTCTCATAGGAACTTACCATGTTAGTTGAAATGACCTTCATTCTCCTGAGGGTTATCTGTTCTGGTTGTTGACTTAGATCATGCAATCTGTGACCACTCTTCCAAGGACATCAAAGAATAAACTGCCCACATGTCCTCAGTCTACTGCTTCCACATGTCCCTGCCTTGCCCCTGCCAGGGAGCCCTGGGCAACATTACTGGGGGGTGGTACCCTGAGTCAAGGCAGACCACAGGTGGCTCCAATTAGAAGCCTGGTGAGGACGACATCTCAGCCTGTTTGAGGCTACTCTCGCTTCTCTTGTTTACTGGGCTTGCAAACGAGCGGTTAAAAGACGCACAGCAGTGTCCAGCTGGGCCATAGTAAAGCCTGAGACAAAAGGAAAAAGTAGTCTTACCAGCACAGCTCTTATTTAACCTTTTGAGATTTTGTACACATGGAATTTTGGTGTTAACTTTTGTTTTTCAAAAATGTTGCCTCGAAACCTGATTTCTCTTGAGTACTGGGTTTTTCCGGCGGTCCCTTTTGGCACCCAGACCGGATACACACCAGCTGAGGAGTGAGGAAGCTGGACTATATGCACCAACTCCTGCACCTCACTGGTTGCAGGTTGCCTGGGGCATATTAATGAACTCTGACACTTCCAGCCTGCCCTGTGTGCAGGTTAGACAGGTGCCGTCAGCATCAGGCAGTATCCATTTTGGACCAGTCACTGTGGCCAGAGAAGTATGATTAGCCACAGAAGTCCTTTCCAAAAACTCTATGGTCTGAAGGAGCATATCCCACAGGTGAACTTGGAGTGGCCTTGGGACACATGGGCACCTTACATAGTCAATGCCTTTCTCTTTCTTCCTCAAGGCAGTTTAAATTTCGTCACCTGAAACCTGAGTCCTGATTCTTGCTGGCAATGGCTGAGGATACTGTGGCTCTTCCAGCTTATTAAGGTAGGGACAAAATAGGGGTAAGCGGCCAGCAGAGTGTTCCTATGCTTGGACTGTCTTCAGGGCACTACCTCTCCAACTTGTAGGGGAAGAAATTGGGGGAATCCAAGGTCACACTAGTAACTAGGATAGCAACAACATTAGACTTTCATGGCACTTTACAGTTCCAAATCCCTTTCACTCTGTTTTTTTTTTTTTTTTCCTCACGAAGGCTTAGAGGTACAGGGAAGGCAAGCTGTGGAGCCCCCATTTCAGAGAAGAATGAACTGAGCTCCAAGAGGCCCAGCAATCCATGTATAGCTAAGGGATGGCAGAACACCTTGCCTTCTACTTCACCATCCTCAAGCCAACAGAGACACAGAACAACGGCGCCTATCTTAAAGCAGACTCTTTTCCTTTCCTTCTGTAAATGTAAACTTCAGTTTACTGGTTCCGTTCCATGCATTCTATAAGGAGTGACAAGGGAACGAGTTGGTGCTTCTCAGGAAAAGGGACCTTCTCTTTGTCACCTTCAAATCTGTAGCTCCAGCACGTCCTGGCAGGAACAAGTGCCCTGTTGGCATCTGTTGAATTGGATTAACACTGAGGAGGGAGCAGCTCAGACCAGAATGTTGGACCTTTTAGAGGCAACACTGTAGTGGTAAGAAGAGTTACACCCTCCATTTACCGAACATGTACTGTGCCCAATGCTCAGCTGTTTCATACCCATGGGAAGTAAATGTTCTTGTTGTTTTACAGATCAGGAGAGTAAAGATCAGGGAAGAGGAAGGATCTCACTCAGGGCCAGGGGAGGGATGAAAACCCAAACCTTCCTGACTCCCAAACCTGCTTTCCTAAACCACACGTGCTCTGTCAACTCAGAAGCTACTCAGTGCCACATTGCAGTTCAACGTAAGAGGCTCGATAAAATAGTCCAGTCTTACTGAAGGAGTTCCTTTTCCTCTCCTGCCCTCCAGGCGGGCTCCAGGGTTATTTCATACTTTTGCATACAAAATCTAGAGCAAAATGGGGGCGGAGAAGTAGCAGGAGTTCTGGAGTTAAGGCAGGATGGAGGCAGTTGAGGCAAGTTTGAAGGAAGCATGTCTATGAGAGTATGGGATGTGAGGTGACCACGAGAAGAAAAAGGGGTACAAGAGTGTTGCTGGGGGTTAGGAATCAGATTCCTGTGGAATCTGTAGATATGTACAATTATTTTTGGCTCCTTTGGAAGATGTACTTTTATTTATTTATCTTTAAAGGCTTATTTATTTTTGAGAGAGAGAGGAAGGGGAGGGGCAGAAAGAGAGGGAGACAGAAGATCTGAAGTGGGCCCTGTCTGTGCTCACAGCAGCGAGCCCAGTGTGGGTCTCGAACTCACGAACCATGAGATCATGACCTAAGCTGAAGTTGTACACTCAACTGACCCTGGAAGATGTACTTTTAAATGCCAAACTGTTCAGGACTAAAGCGTGTGGGTCAATGGGATGTCATAGGAAGGTGACAGAGCCACTGGAGGTATCCAGGCTGAGGCTGGGCAACCCCTTAGTGGGAACGTTGTTGAGGGGCTCCCAGCATTGACTGGAGGAGGGCTGGACAGCTACAACTTTCTGATTTTTGTTTATCTCCGCAACTCCCATCCTGGCTAAGCATGGAGGCAACCCAGCCAATTTGCTCATCCCTGCCACATGCTGTCCCTCTCCTGACTTATCAAACGTTAATCAGTCCCCACCTCCCACCCCATCTTAATTATTTGCAATGATCCGTGATAGACAAACAACTCTGCAGCTTGAAATCCCCCCATCAGGCAAATATTAAATTATTCACATCTTTCTTGCAGATTTTTCACGAAGTGAGTTGGTAATCAAATGACTCTCAAGCGCCTTTACCATTTTATGGTGGCGACCCTGCCCTTCCCCTTAATGTGTGTATCTTCATGCCTCAGCTACACTGGGTGTTCTCCTTTCCTGTTTATGTTTATTTTGGAAGCAAAATGTGTTTACAAAATCAGTTAAAAAGTGTTAATGATCAGTTTCCAGAATGCTAATGTGAATCCAAATTACTTTCACATGAATCAAGACAAATTTTAAAATGCCATTTGATCATAAGCTGTTTTAAATTTGTGTTACAAGTAGCGCAACAAATCTGAACACATGCCTTTTTAAAAAAGAGCAGTTTAAAATAACCATTCTGATGGCATGAGGAAGTTCAGATAAAAAATTTCCTCTGACAGGGAAAGAAGTTAACTTTTGGGCATTCACATGGGAGGAGGTGGGAGGGGACATACACCCAGAGGAAGAATATCATTTATAATTGTTAAAAATAGGATAGAGCTGTGAAACTTACATGGTTTTCATTCATCTTGTTTATTATTATTTTCCCAGTGTCCAAAAGAGGAAATGTGCCTGGCACGTTGCAGGCACATGACAGTATTTGCAGAATTCATGGACAAGTAAAATCAGTTTCATAAATTATAGAATTTAATATGAGATTTTATTTTCTCTGATATAAAAATTATGAAGTTCATGGCAAGTTAGAATAGAAAATTGAGAGCCACATCTTGCAAAACTACTGATTCCATATTCAGATAATATGCCTCGTGCTTGTGCATGCTGCCCCATGTGGGTTACCCAGTAAGGTTGCTCACAGCACTGGGGGGCCTGATCGTCTGGGACACAGGCACAGTGTTGGTTTCGGCGTGTCCTGTGCAGAGTCACAGCTGCTGCCCACCTGAATTTACTGGAATGCATTTTTTTCAGTGGGTCCATCACTAGTGATAATGGAAATGGAGACCGTGAGGTGGTCCAGTGCCACTGCTGGGCTGTTAGAAGTCATCTTCTCCCGAATCAGACAATCTAGGACCGGCTTTCCAGAGGTCCGAGGGGTCTAGGGGAAGACAGATCTGGGGTAGAGGGAGAAAGCAAGGGCTTTTGGAGAGACTTCCACCTCTTGCCCAAGCATCCCTGTCTTGCTTTGACTTGCATACTAGGTTGCAAGGTAAGATTTTCTTTGATAAAAATCTTCAGGTGCTATTTTTTTTTAAAGCATTTAGAATATTTATCTACACAGCCAAAAGTGTTAGCAAAAGATAAGTCCAGGGATATGGATCCAGCTCCCCAAGGAACTGCCGACCTTGAGTTAATGTACGTGTGTGTGCAAAGCTGTGCCTTCATCAGAAACAATATAGCTTCAGAATCTCTAGGCCATTTCACAAAAACTCCCCATGTCCCTGTTTTGGAATATGCCCAGGTCATGGGTTTGGTTCCTACTCAGAGGAACACATAAAAGTGGGGAAAATTTTACTTCCACGTTTCCCAGTGTTCTAAATGTTCCCATTTCTGGGCTGGCAAGGGTTCTTCTGCTCTTGGCGCCCAGAGCAGAATCTGATAAGTCCATTCATGAGCAGGTTTGAGAGTCCAAGTCTATGCCTTAAAGGGACAAGTAATGGTTTCAGACCAAGGGGTTTGTTGGTCAGGAGAAAATGGTGGCTAAGAAGCCTGGGGGATGGGGAGCCCTTCCTGGAAAGCCCTGGGAACCAGAACCTGCTCCATGTCCTTGGGTCATCCCCTAGACACCAGACAGGAAAGACCTAGCTGGATGCCACAGTGACCCAGTTGTCTCTCTCAACCCACTGAAGCAAGAACAATATGAAGGGAAATAGCTTTGGAGTCAAGCTGATTTGGGTCACAACCCAATCTATAAGAGCTCTGTGACCCTGAGTTGCTAACGTCACTATTCCAAACTGTGGGTTTCTTCAACTGTAAAAACATGGTAAAAAAAAATGCATTCTTCCCACTAGGTTATTCCAAAACTTAAAGTAATGTCTGGAAGGTTTTTGACAAATAGTAGGTACTCAATAAATCATAGCTATAACATATTCTACTGTCTCCACACTGTTTTGAAAGGACCTACCTCGGGGCACCTGGGTGGCACAGTCGGTTGAGCGTCCGACTTCAGCCAGGTCACGATCTCGCGGTCCGGGAGTTCGAGCCCCGCGTCGGGCTCTGGGCTGATGGCTCGGAGCCTGGAGCCTGTTTCCCATTCTGTGTCTCCCTCTCTCTCTGCCCCTCCCCCGTTCATGCTCTGTCTCTCTTTGTCCCAAAAATAAATAAAAACGTTGAAAGAAAAAAAAAATTAAAAAAAAAAAGAAAGGACCTACCTCTAGTGGAGTCTACTTCTAATGGGGAGACATTTTTGGCTTTTAAGTAAAATCTACAGAATATCTACATTATGCTGGGGGTGCCTGGCTGCCTCAGTTGGTTAAGTGTCGGACTCTTGATTTCTGCTCACATCATGATCTCATGGTTTGTGAGATTGAGCCCCACGTGGACCTCCGTGCTGACAGTGCATAGCCTTCTTGGGATTATCCTTCTCTCTTTCTCTTTCTGACCCTCCTTTGCCCGTACTCTCTTTCTCAAAATAAATAAATAAACATGAAAAAACTGTTTTTCA